AAAAACTTGAAAATAAAGAAAAAGTAAAAATATTATTTTACGAGAAGAAAAATACTTTGAGGGATGAGTATAAGGAGGTGAGCGGGGGAGTTTAAGGGAAGATTCGTAGAAAGAGAGTTTCGATAAGAGGATTAGATCAGATACCGTGGCATTTTCCAGAGGCGCGGGAATTCGAATTGTCTAACGCTTGGTTCATTAAGGATATACCCATATCGAAGAGAAGATAGGAGATGAGGATGGTTAGGAGGATAAAAGAGGAGGGGGAGTCGGGGGAAGTGGGAGTAAAAATGTGATTGCACGTTCGATTTATCGTGGAAGGTTCGCGACAGGAAAAGAGAACCGCCAACGGATTTTCCTTCCTTTTTTCTTTTTTTTTCTCCCCCTTTCTTTCTCTTTTGATTTTCCTATGCTACCTTGCAAGTTTTCCGTTAATTCCAAGTGGAACCATTCGATGGGACCTCTCTCTCTCTCTCTCTCTCTCTCTTTCTCTTTCTCTTTCTCTTTGCACGCGCGCTAGAAACCAATAATTGTTCTCTTAGCGATTATTCGAGGGAGTGAAAATAAGAAGATTAATTTAATCCTCGAGCACTCTCTTCGTTAAAGTATTCTCACCTGTGTCTATCTTTTTCTACGAAGTATTACGATCCGTCTTTCTTTCTTATTCTATTCAATTGTTTTAATATTTGTTTTTTATATATTCTTCGATTATAAAAAATTATTATCATTATTCGTAAAAGATGTCAGAGTCCTCGCATATTTTATTCTTAGAGGGATGTCTTTTTTTTGTTCCTCTTTCGGGAGGGTTTCTTTTATATTGTACAAATTTTTTCTTGTTTTTTTTTGTTCATCGTTCGTGAGAATAAATTTAGACAAATTTGTCTCGTTTATCTTAATCTGTATAACGTACTATATCTGTCTGTTTCTCTCTCTCTCTCTCTCTCTCTCTGTATCATTGTTTTAATTTTTGTTTTACTTTTGAATAATATTTGTAAAAGTTGGATTCGCGTCAGATTTTTTTTCATCGATCACCATCTGCCTCTCTTTTTTTTTCTTATATATCTTATTTATATTTTATTTTTTTACCATTTAATTTTTTTCTTTTATTTTTTTTCTTCGTTCGCGAGAGCAAACCAATAAGAATTTGTTTCAATTATCGTAATTTTTAAAAAACGTTGCATCCGACTTTTTCTGTTTTTTTTTTATTATATTTATTTAAAAATTATTGTAATATGTATATACCTAACATCTTTTTCCCGATATGTTTCGTTTACGATGGGAGGAACAAAACGTAAACAAGTAAACCCTAGATAGATCAGTTCGGTGGCAGACCTAAATTCATAGCTTGTTGGCTCAAACGAAAGGAGCAAACGAGAAGGGTAAACAGAAAGCGATGAAATATGACGTGGCACTTGCACACCGAGCTGTATAAAGCTCGTATACATATATACAGAGTGATTCAAAATTTTACAATTGATTTGAAAAATTAATAACTCCTTTTACAAAACCTTTCAAAATAATTTCATTTGTTAAATCATTCATTCGTAATCTCAATTTAATACAAATTCAATGATTAAGTATAAGCTTCTAATTATTAGAAAATAATTAATTAACTTGTAAAATATATGTTAGAAACTTTTGGTACACCCTATATATGTATACCTAAAGAGAATCTACTATGAACAACATTCTCCATTCTCAGATGTTGAGAACCAACACCATCAGAAGCAGCCATCATTCCACTATCTTACATACTCCGTTCGTTGACAGTAAGGACAAGCTTGAAACCTTCTGATGGAGTTGCTTTTCGATCCTTTTATCGATCCTTTGTTAACCTTCTGAACTTTCTATCATAAGCGTACATAAGACTTGTCCATGAAATTCTTCTATAGATTGTCGTTACAAGTAGTTCGTGTTGATAATAAGTCA